TTTCCTGTTTGCCTCATTAATTTGTAATAAAACATGAATTAGGAACAGTTTTCTAATAATGCCTTCCCCTCTGTTTTGTAATATGAGACTTATTAGAGAATGTAATCTGTCAAATGTTTTCCTTTCAAAGATCTTCTGTTTCTGGCTTGCATTTGAAGTGAGAGTTATTTGTGAAGAACTGCTGTGCAGTCTAGATTCAAACTGTTATTTTTGTGTACAATGATTCTTCCCCCTGCTGTCCTATTCCATTTAACAAGGCAGTGCCTTGTCTTTTAGATTTGCAGAATAAAGGTGTGATGAGAACAGACAAGTTGAACATACCAGAAGAGTCCACAGATAAAGGAACAGAGGTCGGTAGTATCAGAAATGAGACTTTATTACTCTGACAGCACAAAGAAAGTTTGCAGTTGTTTTGCTGTTGATGTGTAGGCAGTAGACTGGAGAAGGAAACTTCATTTGCATTATCCAAAGGAAGGACATAAACCCAATGGCTGAAGCTTTCCGTCCTCATGCAGTGACTGAACTCCTAAACTAAGGAGGTCAGCAGGAGCCTCTTGGCCTTTTTTTTTCCCATTCCCCAGTCAAACCACACTATGAGTGCTCTGATAAATTCAGTAAAAGTGGCATTCACATTGTTCAAGGTGGAATTACCAACGTCTTCATCATTTCCTCTTTTCTGCCTTCCTTGTTATGTTACTACATCATTAATCCTCTTCCTGAAGCTTTCAAAAGCAGACTGGAGCACATTGCATCAGGCATTCTGTGGTGCACGGTGTGTCTGAGCAGAATTCACCATTCTCTGCTTCATTGTGACTAGCATTTTATCTCAAGATTCCTATTGTAAGCATCCTTTCTGGCCCTCCAAAAGTAATCAGAAAGATTTGTCCACTCCCATTAGACCTGCATGGAGGGAAATAATGGCAATAAGGTCAATTATGGGGGGAAAGAGGAATGGAATCAAAAACTGCTGGTTTCATTAGTGTCTTCTTGTAAAAAGAAAAAGGCTATATCTAAAATTGTTAATACAGAAATAGACAAGGAATGATGCCATACATCAAATGGTATTGTTTACAACTACACAGGAACAATGCTACTAATAATATAAACCTGAATAAAACCGTTTTATGGGTTATTCAGATAAAAAGGCCAGATTCACTGAAGCTTAAAAAAAGAAGACAGAGTAAAATGCTCTTTTCTAAGAAAAGGAGATTGAGAATGATGCTTTACTTGTCTTCTCAAGACAGCAGAGCAATAACTTGATATGGAAGGTGTTTCAGCTGGAACAGAACTTTTTCAGAAAAGCAAAGGCTTTTAATTGTACTGTAGAGTCTATCTAGTGAAGAGCAGGCAAGTTTAAGAAACTGTGTCCACATTAAAAAATAACTTGCAGAAAGGAAAATTATGAAAGGGATTTGAAGATATGTAAAAAAAATAAATTGTTCTCTATTCAGGCTACTCCTCTCAAAACTGAAGGCTCATAATTCTTTTTTCCTTCATATTAATTACCATGCAGACTAATTTAAATTGTGCTGCTTAGCTATTAGCACCAATGTGATGGACCCCTATGTGCCACAAAGGCACCAGTGGTGCTCTATTTGGTCCTGCCTCTAGCTTTTCCCTGTGCAAAGCTATCAGTTATTGAGAGCTATAATTACTTGCACCCATCTGCACTGAAGTTCATCTTGGTCTCTGCTCTGGGTAGCTTACAAGGAGTTAAATTTTCTGAAGAAAAACATTGAGATTATTAAAACACTTTATTATAGAAATTATTTTAAAAAATGAGACCTATTGTAAAATATAAGGATTAATTTATTAATCAGAGCTTTCTGAACTCTCACATTAAGCAGCTTTGTTATGCTAATTCTCTTATAAATGAATAATGGACTTATTCTCCCATTATTGCCTATCATTTCAAAAGACCCATTTAGAAAATGAAGATGTCCTTTTCACTTGAAAATTATTATGTATTTTACAGCACAAGTTTTTTAAATTGAATATTTGCTCCCTATACCCTTCTGTTCCCCACTGCCCTGCTTGTACTCCTCAGTCAATGTTCAAATCAAACACAGCCATAACCATTTGTCACAGAGATACATAGTGTGTGGAAAGAAAGCACAATGGAGACAATGGGCTTTGAGAACAGAGGCCCAAATCTGCAAAGCTATTTACTTCTGACAAATTTAGATGTAGCCTTAGTTCCTAGACATTTTAAAGAAAATTATGTTGTGAATAATGACATAAAAGAAGAAAGCCAAGATGGTGCAGCTGTAGAAAGCCAGAAAGTTAAGTCATAACATAGGATTTATATTGAAAAGAAAAAATATTTTTACTAGAAGAGCTTCGTTTTGCTGCACATTTTCCACATGTCTTGGAGAGTTCATCTGCTCTTGATTGCATATATATGCACTGCCAGTCAAGTTCAAACCCATGCAGCAATTAAATTTACACTGTCAGGTCTCTTACAATGGAGCTCTAGTGCTTTCTGGAGAAAAGCCCTGGCTAGATTGCTGCCTTGATACATGTTTTCACTTGTGCACTATGCAGGAATCAGAGGGAGAAGAAGGAGGGAACAAGGTGAAAGGGGTTTGAACATACTGCAAAAATCTGGCAAGTAGACACCCTGACATTATTGTGTCCTAAGCACACAAGACATATTCCTTTTGAGACAATTGGCATCTTTGGCCAAGGAAGACAAAGTTCCTTTGTCCCAGGTCAATATGACTTCTGGAGGAAAAAGCCTTGGCATGTGCCATTTGCTGCATCCCAGAACAGCCTAGTGCATTCATCTTTTCCTTCCACTCTTATGGGCAATTCACAGCTTTAGGCCAAAATAGCCCGACCTCCTAAAGATTCTATGGCACCACCTATGGCAAGGGCAGAACAGATTTGTGTGCAGGCTAAAATGAGGCTGAGTTCATGCTGCCTGTAATGCAAGTGCCAGTCATGGCATTTCCTCTGGAATTTACAACTCAGGAAATTATAACAACTGGCAAAAAAACCCATGCAGTCACAAAGCTCCATGGATGAAATCAGGAGATGTGGCTTCCTTAGGCTGATTTTGGAAGACAAAGAAGTCTGTCAGAATGGACACTTTCTTGTATATTCTTTATCTCCAAAACATAAATAACTTTTTTTTTCCCCTGTGTTCACAGTCAGGGCTATAAACTCTTATGAAGCAGGGGTACTTCTTATGATCATGAAATCAGAGAATTGCTTGTGCTGTAAAGGTCATCTTGTTCCAATCCCCTTGCCATGGGCAGAGGCACCTTCCACTAGACCAGGTTGCTCAGCCCCATCCAACCTGGTCTTGAACAATTCTTCTGGAGAGCCTGTTCCAGTCCTTTACCACCCTCACAATTAAGAATTTCTTCCTAATATCCACTCTAAACCTAATTTCTTTCAGTTTGTAGCCATTCTGCCTTGTCTTGTCACTAAATGCTCTTTTAAATAGCTTTTTTCCATCTTCCTTGTATGCTTTTTTCAGGTACTGGGAGGATGCAATTAGGTCACCCCAAAGCATTCTCTTCTCTAGGGTGAACCATCCAAATTCATCCAAGCTTTCCTTTTGAGAGAGGTTCTCCATCCCTCTAGTAATCTTGTTGGTCTTCCTCTGTACTCACTCCAACAGGTCGATGTCATCCTTGTGCTGGGGACCCCAGAGCTGGAAGCAGAACTACAGTGAGGCCTCTCACCAGAGAGGAATAAAGGGGTAGAATCTCCTCCCTCACCCTGCCTACCTTGGTTCTGATGCAGCTCAAGACACATTTGGCTTTCTGGACTGCTGAGCACATGGCTGGGTCATGTACAGCCTCTCATCCACCAGCACCCCCAAGTTCTTCTCAGCTGGGCTGCTCTTGATCTGTTCATCTCCCAGGCTGTGTTGATACTGGAGGTTGCCCCAGCCCAGGTGCAGGACCTTACACTGTCTTATTGTCTTATCTCATGAGATTCCCCTGTGCCTACTTCTGGAGCTTTGGATGGCATCCCATCCATCAGGTGTGTCAACAGGACCACTCAACTTTGTGTCATCAGCAAAATCGCTGAGGGTGACCCTTTCATCTATGTCATTAACGAAGCTATTAAATAATACTGGTCACTCTACAGACCCCTGAGGGACACCACTTGTGGCTTATGTCCTTCAGGGCTCTGAGCCATTGACCGCTGCCATTGGCCACCATTGACACTCTGAATGTGACTGTTCAACAAATTCTTTATCAGTCTAATAGCCCACCCATCAAATCCATCCATTTATCTCTCTTCAGTTTAGAGAGAAGGATGTTGTGGGAGACCATGTCAGAGATTGTGCAGAAGTCCAGAAAAATGCTATTTGCAGCTTTTTCCTTATCCTCTGATGTAGTCACTCTATTATAGAAGGCCACAGGTTTGGTTAGGCAGGACATGGCCTTAATGATGTGGAGGCTTAGGAAAAAAAACTATTACAAGGTCTCTTCAAACCAACACAGGTGTTCTGATTTTTTTTGTGCCTGTGAACTCTTAGAATTGCAAAGTCAGCCAACTTTGGCTTGATTGTGGAAGAAATATGAACAGTTCATTCTCTGTTGGATGTTGCTAAAGTAAGTGAAAACACAAAGAAAGTAGGGATAGCTCAGATGAGAGTACTCACTGGACCTTGTTTTGTCTCATGGGCTATGTTCTGTAATGTCGCTCAGTTCAGTGGTTAAATCTTGGAGAGAATTAGAATTAGAATTAAAAGAACACAGCTCTCTTCCAGAGTCTGGTGTTGCTGAGGCACATCTTTCTGTGCTTCACTCACCAGCTGGATAATGACTGAGTTCATAAGCATTTGAGAAGGGTTGTAATTTTTAGCTTAGTCTTCTGAGTGAACACACACACACACACACACACACACACACACACACACACACGCAAATAATATCTTTTAAACTCAAATGGAAGCTCTCTTACAAACTCATGAATCAATGGAAGCATCTCCCTTATCTTTTAGAGTCTTCAGTCTCTCTGCAAATATTTTTAAATAAATTCTAATTTGATTTTTCTTTGCATGTTTCATCCATGTAGCAAGTAATAGAGTCAACCTTGCCATCAAACTTTGTTACAGTATATTTCTGTATATTAAATGGTATTAATTCTAGAAATCCAATGATATTAAAACCTTTTTTTTGTTAATAGTTTTGATGGTAGTTATTTAAGCAACCTTAAATTGTTCATTTGTGACGTAAAGGAAACAACAGCGAAGCCAACCTGCATGAACTGAAGCAGAGTTCAAGAGAAGCTGAAAGAGCTTCTAGTCTTGAATAGATAGTGTAGCCAGTAAGGCTCACATTCTCCTGAATGCTATGACAAAAATATTATACTGTCAAGCTAAGGTTTCTTTTTCTTTTCTTGTTAAACTTTAGTTTGCACCTACAATTTTCAGGCAAGATTTATCCCAAAGCCTTTTAGCTGTGATTTAGAACTTTTTTTACTTTTTATTGTTTTTATTCTTTTCCCAGCTTTCAGAGTAGATTTCTAATTAGGTTAGGTTTTTTGGCTTTATTTATCCAATTCTTTTTAGTATTTAGTCATTATTTTCTTTTCCTGCTTCTCTACACATTTAAGATGAATATATTTAATGACCCTTTAGTCATACAGAAAGACAGTCCACTGTGACAAGTTGTGTTTCATTTCAGACTATTATATTTTTCAGCTAAGAATATGAACCTTTCACATCTCTGTTTTCCATTTCACTATGTGGTATTTCCACCTGCTGAACACAGGGCACTGCCAGCATCTCAGAGTCTGACCTCTTTCCGGATCAAACACATAGAAGGTTGTTTAAATTGGCGAAGTAAGAAGAAAAATGAAAACCAAACTTTATTTCTGGATCTACTTAGGAGGCCATAAATTTAATACATATTTAGTAAACAGATTTAAAAAAAAAAGGCTTATAAAAAATAAATCTGTAAGTATTGACTTCCACATGAAGCTCAAAAGTATGTATTTTTTAAACTGCTAGAGTTATTATGAATATTTGAGATGGTTGACCTGTACTTTTTCTCTGTGCTTTTCTTCACAGTTCATCTCTGTTGGATTTCTCTTCTTGTGACGAAATCATAGTATTTTACAATGACAAGCCAATGTAATTATCATGTTATAAAAACAGACTGTACTAAAAAATGAAATGGGCAAAGAGAGAAAAATACTCTGTGTACTTGACTGCAGTCAAAAATTAGCTGTTAGTTCTCTTTTATATGAGGAAAAAAATTTAAATGAAGTGGTACAAGACTTTCCCAGTATGTGAATGGTCTTCCTTAAATAAATGTGCTCATTTTAACTTCTGTTGTAAACCAGAAATACTATTATGTTTTTATTTACTGGCTGCTGAGAAATATTAATATAAATTCTTATTCCATTGCATCCACTGTATATTTTGTTTATCAGAAAATAATGGCACACAATCTTTTTGTGTGAAGGCTTCATTCTATGCAGTATAGTAAAGTACACAGAGTTTCAATGTACAGTAACCTTGCAAAAATTTGCAGCTACAGAAAAAAGGTCGGATTGCCTTGAAAACAGAGAGTAAGTATAAATGATTTTGTTCATTTATAATTTAGAATATTTTATAGAATGAAAAATATTTTAGAAAAATTGAGAGTTTGGGGGAAAAAAAAGGAAAGCCATTTATAGTAATTGTAATTATCCTCCAAGTAATTTGCTTGTTTTAAGTGTTTGTGCATTACATGCAATCTGTCTTTCACCTGTTCGTTTACTACCTAAATATTATTTTCAACACCAAGGGCAGATCTAGACATCTAGATTTACATATAATTGAAATATTCAGTCACCTCAGTTCATACTTCCTCCCTAGGTGCAGATACACAGCAAGCAAGAGGGTCCTTGTTCTGATTTTCTCGAATGTTCAGCTAAATTAATAGTACTTTGGGACCACTAGTGTCAAAGCAAAGCATTAGATATGACAGTTCAATATGGACATCTGGATTAAATATTAGCACATATATAAGACCAGGATAAAATTTTCTTTGCTAGTAAAAGATCCAAGATTTCACCTGGATGATCATGCTTTGTGGCAGACAACCATTGCAGCAATGTATTTTCTGCTATCTGTCTAACTAAGGTGGTACAGGTCAAGGAATTTTTGTATTTTTAATGTAGCAAATGTGAAGAAAGTAGGTTTCTTATAAAAAACATCAGTCAAGGCTGAAGCAGATTTATAAACACAAAGGATAGGCACAATTTAAGATATGTGCCCTTTTCTGAATCTATTTTCAACTTCAGGTTCCTCTTTTTTTTAAGTTGTTTAGACATTTTCTTATGGAGACTGCCATTAATTAGATATCCCAATGTTAATTTCAGTCAAATCACATGAGAAAAAATGTACATTGTCATAAAATAGGTTATTATGCCTCATGCACTCCCTGGTTATTCCTTTGTAATCAGTTAATTGAACAAATGGCCATAGAAGATGATGAAATAAAAATAATAATATTCTGCATTTATATTGTAATTTTCATCTTAAATGTGTTATACAAATTAGCTAACTAGTACAACAATCTTCCTAATTCCATTTTTTTGTGTAAAGCACATACTGATGATAGGTAGGATCAACACATAGCTGACTTGCACCAGGCATATAGTATGTATTGGTGTCAACTAAGGTGAGTAGAAATTGAGATAAAGATGTAGTGTAAAGTTTGCTGACTAAAAATTAAGTGTGTTTTTTTCATTTGGTTTGGTTTGGTTTGGTTTGGCTTGGTTTTGTGGGTATTTTTGTTTGTTTGTTTGGGGTTTTTTTGTTTGGTTTTTTGTTTGGTTTTGAGGTTTTTTTTGTTTTGTTTTGTTTGTTTGTTTTTTTCTTTTTTTTTTCCAATGAATCTAATAAAAATAACTGTGGAGATGGTTATGAAGCAAGGCCATTCATGTAGTTTATAGAACGGAGCATGCAGACTTGATGTTAGGGTTCAGAACAGAAATCATTGGCTTGTTAATAATTTTTGAAAACTTAACTCTTTTTGCCTATATTTTTTCAACAAACCTTGTCAGTTCTAACTAGGGACTAAATTCTGATAAGAAGTAGGATGTTGATTTTTCTTTTAATTTGGCAACACTGTTGTGGTTTAACTCCATCTGGGAACTAAACTCTACCCAGCTGCTCTCAGTCCTCTTGGTGAGATGGAAGAGAGAATAAGAAGGGTAAAAGTGAGTCGAGGGTCATGGGTTGAGACAAATGTAGCTTAAAAAGAAAAGAAAAAGCCATCCAAGGTAAAAATAAAACAAAAATAATTAATTCCTTTAATTATAAATCCTAATAATTAACCACCTCCAAGGGTTAGACAAGTGTTTAGGCATCACCAGGAAAGCCAGGTTCCATCATCCATAACCATGCCTTGGGAAGACAAACACCCTCAGTCCAAATGTCCACCCTTTTCTCCTTCTTTCTCCAGCTCTATGTGCTGGAAAGATGCTATATGGTATGGAATATCCCTGTGGTCGGTTGGTATCAGCTGTCCTGGTTGTGTCTCCTGTCAGCTCCTGGGCACTCCCAGGCTGCTCACTGGTGGGATGGGGTGAGGAGCAGAAAAGCCTTGACTCTGGGCGAGCCCTGCTCAGCAATAAGGAAAACATCCCTGTGTTATCAACATTCTGCTCACAAATCCAAAGCATAGCCCCATATCTATGGGGCTACTGTGAAGAAAATTACCTCAGCATGAACCAGTCCAAACTCTCAGTTAGAGTTTAGCTTACTTGTGTGCTCCCTTATGCTGTTCACTTTAAGCTATTGGAAGGCAAAAAATCACTGTAACGATCATAATTCCTGTATCATCAATAACATGGGCAACATAGACTTATTGTCACATAAAACCCCTTTTGATGTCAATGAAACATAGTTTGGACCTTAACTGACTGATGTATGTGGAATTGCAGCTATCAACCCTATGTGACTACAAGAACATCAGAAAATCTAAGGGTCAAATTCACCAATGGGCTCTACCTTTTCTGCATTGATACAGCAATAAAAAAGAAGGCTGAAGCTGGCTTTGTAACCAGCTCCTTAAAACAATTATATTCACTGAGACAAGATAGGTTTGCTGTGATCATCAAGTTTGACCTCATGTACCATACATGCCTTTGAATTTTTTGAAGTGACTCCCATATCAAACCTGTTAGAGTTGCTGCTGCGCATTTACTAAAGCAGCACATACAGGTCAAACTGACACAGGTAATCGTGTGAGGTACATGAATAGTAATTTAAATCATACTGTTCAGATTGTATTTGCCCTGTATGCATCTGTGCAGTGCTAGTCTAAATTATGATTTTCTTGTTTGGTGCTAATTTGAAACAGTGTTGTCAAAGCTAGAAGGTGTTTTATATGCTGGAAGCATGTATCTCTTTTTAACTTTCTATCCGAGTAAAAGATAATAGATTTAGATTAGATACTAAGAAAAAATAGTTTATTGTGTGGGCACTGGAACAGGTTGCCCAGAGAAGCTGTGGCTGCCTCCTGCCTGGAAGCATTCAAGGCCAGGATGTATGGAGCTCTGATCAGCTAGGTCTAAAGAAAGGTGTCCCTGCCCACGGCAGGGAGTTTGGAACAGGATGATCTTTAAGGTCCCTTCTAACCCAGAGCATTCTGTAATTTTGTGATCATATAATATTATGCAGTAATACTATTTTATTGGTGGAGAAATAGTGGCATCAGAGGATTCAGCATTTTCTGACAGTCCTGATTTCAAACTCACCTGCTAGAACCGCAGCACTCCAAGGTGGTTAAACACATGAAAATGCTGCTCCTGAAGTTGCATAGCTGTATAAGGTTGTGTGAGCTATTTCCAGTCCTTTTTAGGGTGCAGCCTCCTTACCATGATCAGTCCCATGCTAACAGACGTCTCAGGAAATTTGGGAGGGAAGCTGTTTTCCAGCCTGAAGTGACTTACCTAGGCACAGTGGCATTTTCCACCAGAAAGGAATGGAAATTTTACCAGTTAATCTCCTGTTTCATTTTTAAACCCTCATATTTGTCAAAATCAGAACTTCTAGGTACTGTCTGGATGTGAATCAGTCAAAACTGTCTCTCTCTCTCCCTGGGGCTTTGAATACAAGTGTGATACTTCATTTCCTATTTCAACCATTTTTATATTTTACTGATATTCTGGATGGGAAATGCCAGTGTCTAAGTAATGATGATATGATGAAAAAAGCCCAATAAAATACAAAGTTTCCAGATGATTTTTTATTATACCATTAAATGTACTAGAATTGCAGGTAGTAATGTAAGATGAAAAGCCATTGAAACCTGAACCAACAGAATCCATCAGAAACGTTCATTTTCCATTTTTCTCTTTTCACTAAAATCTGTGCAAGTCCTGTGAGTCTGCAGTATTCATCACTTTTTGTAATTTATGTGATGTTTTTCTTCTGTTTAAAATTTGGGCTACCAAATTTACCATAAAGAACTTCAGTGAGAGTGTAACATCTGTTCTGAATTTGGCACATTTTTACCATTTCTTCAGTTGGTGTGCAGACAACACAGAGAGGGAAGGGATTACTCTAGTCTTGCTTACAAATGAAATAAAGAATTCTGAGTAAGGAATTTTGGCTTACATGTTTCTGACAGTTATATAGGCATATAAATTAAACAAAGTCTACCATAACATTTCCATTTCTCTAATCCATTTGGTTAACACTCCTTGATTTATAGTTTTTTTTAACTGACCACTATTGAAATATTTGTCTGCTAATGACAGTTTCATTGCTCTTTAAACTTAGCTACTTAGATATCTTTAGGGATATGAGTGAAGAATTTTATCTGAGATTTTATTTCATTTGATTATTTTCCCAAGAGGGAGTTCATAAAAGTCCTGAAAAAATCCCAGTCAATGCCAATGGGACTGTGGAAAGGCAGTCAGATCTGGTTGTAGGGGCACCTATTGTTTACTGATGCCTGACACTATAGTCCTCCCTTCCATGAACACCTGTCACTTTTGAAAGTGGTAGAACTGTAATGAAAATTAATTTTCCAGATGTTGTAGCATTGAAATTGGGCATATCCAAAAAACAAATATATATCTATCTAGATCTATATATCCGAGCTGTCATATGTGTACTGCTTGGTTCAGAAAGAACTAACAAATACATTTGATACATGTATAAATTATTCATATATAATGGCATTAAACAGGTATCCAGAAGTAATTCTGCTCTTAAAATACAAACAGAAAGAAAGATGAATGCATAGCAAGCTGTCTTTCCTCTTTAACCACGTTCCTTGGTAAAAAAATGCAGATGTTCATCACATGAAAATGGAAAAAAAAAGACATTTTTGAGAATGTATACTGTATTTACAATGAATTTAATGCAATATACATATGCATATCTGTTATACATTGAAGCTTTGTTGCTACCTACTTTAAGGACTGTAAGAAGATAAAAGATCTATAGGTAAAAGGAGAAATGGGCTTGTATGAATAAAGCAGTAAAGGTCTTCTGTTTTCAGTGGTGTGATAATCAGTTCTGAAGCTACAGAAAAGCAGGGTGATTTTAGGAAGGTCAATGCAGTGGTTAGCTTCTGTTGACAGCACCAACTTCATACATCTGCAGTTGAAATGATTTGATTCTCAAACTGGAGACCTTGTCTTGTGGACAGTTTCAGAATCAGCAGACAGGAAGGATCTGATTACTTCTTGGTAGAAATCCATTAAAGGTAATATATTTCTTTTCCAGTCCTCCCACCTTCCCCTAATGGTTTTAGTTTTTGAGGCTTAGTATTCTTCCCACCATTACTTTAAAAGGCAGGTTGAAGACTTTCAAAAATATCAAAGAAAGGACAAATTCTATTCCTTCTGAGGAACAAATTTTATTGCCACACATACATGGCCAATATCAAAAATTATACTTGATTTAGAAGTTAAACTATGTGTGATTAATATAAAATTACAACAACTCCTCTTCACAAACTAGAGCTTCTGTGAAAGCCTATTATATTTGATGGGAAATTTTTCTTAAATTCAGCTGAATTTTTATCAGATCTAGAGAGCTAAAAGGGAATTTCACTAGTTTTTAATATTCTGTTCTACCTGGACCTCCTATGACCTGTCTCAATAGAGAAAAGAAAAATTTTTATTTCAGGTCAAGAATTACTCCTACTCAGGTATTCATTGGTCATTTACTTTAATCTACAAAAATGTATTTATTCGAAGTAAGTAACCCCAAACCACTTAGTAGGAACATACAGAGAAAAACACTCCAGTTTTCCTGGTGGTTTAAACAATTGAGGACAGCACAACAAACATTTCTTTGACCTGTACTGCGAACGTACCCAGGTGAAGCCTGCAAGGAGCTCTAATAGAAAATTCCTTGTAGCTTTCAAGTAGAATGAGCTCTTTTCTGACCCCAGGTTTTTTATGTCTCCCCATTATGTAGATTGACTGATTTGATAGGCTAAGGTGACTGATGATGGCTGAGTCTCAAGGTGGCAGTGAATCTGATTGTCTGTGCATTGGTAGAGAAATGAGCACGCAAAGCAATTGTCAGCTACATTATTGGTATTACTCAGAAGAAAAATCAAATAAACTTTAAAGGAGCTAATAATTTGAGAATGGTCACTGAATGACAATATTGGCAAAACTGAAATGATGAAGAGACCAAAATCAGAGACAAATTAAAAAAAATAAAAAGGAAAAAAACCTGAATATAGTCTTTCTTATCGGTATCATTTTCACTGTTTAATTCTGTGAAGAGATAAAATTAAATTATCTGTGTGACAGTGGAAAAAACATTGTAGGCATCAACTACTGACTGAGGTCACAGAAAACAAAATAGATCTGCTTTCATAAGGAGCTTCATTATTTTAGGGAAGCTGGTGTATCTATATTGTATTTCATAAAGTCTGGAGTGACAAATTCCAATTTTTTATAAGACTGGCAACCTGTGTGAAGCAATCCTGATTTAGATATCTAAGCCCTAAAGATAAGATATGAGATACCCTGTTTTTCAGTGATTGTCATTGTGTATAAGACAGTGAAGAGTTCTCGGGGTTAGTATTGATCCCGAATGACATATCCATACAATGTGCTGTAGATTTATGCAGGATTACTGACTTAGCTTTAATACATTGTTCTGAAAACTGCAATGATTTAGGAGTAAGTAAACCTCAGCTGTAGGAGCAGTATGGATGTGTGTGTTAGGTAATCACACACTCTCCCAGCTTAATTTGCCACTGAATTTGAATCACCAGCAGCCCTTTAGATACAGACCCCATCCCAATCCTTTTGATAGATTAGTCCACAGAGAGACAAATAATCTGTGATTCATAACCCTGTCAAGTTCTTTAATGTTTTTGGAACGCCAACTGTAAAATTATAATTAGATACTCAATATTGAAAGGTTAGTTAAAGAATTTTATGATGTTGAAAAAAGCACTGAAAGCAATAACAAATGTCTAAAATAAAAGCTGGTTTAATTGGTTTCCTAAGATGTCCCAAAAATGCAAGCAAGGCATTATGCTCTTAAACTGCTTCTACCCAGCAACAGACCCTCACTCTCTATTCAGCAAGTTAATGAAATTCATGCTAAATATCTTGCAATATTCCAGAGGAAGAGCTTTGTTTTAAGAGAGGAAAGAACTATTGTATCCAATGTTGAAAGCCTGTGTTGTTTTAAGGTTAATTCATTTGCTGGAGCAGAATTTTTGCTTACGAAAATTGCTAGAACCATTGACACATCTTCTAAATAGGGAACAATGTTTACCAGCAGAATGTGGAATTTAATGGAAATAAATGCAGTGAATTACTGTGCACTAGAATATCTTCCAAGTCTTGTATCTTTCATCACACACCTTTTTGTGCTCAGTAATCCCTAAACTTACATAATACAGAGAAAATGGCATTCAAAGTGATCTTTATGAATGTTTTTTGTGTTTCATAGCTTGAAGATAAGAGCTTCTGTCTGCTGTGGAAAGTCTCTGTCAACAGAATCTGCTTGATCAAAGCATCCTTTGTCAGTTATTAGTAGAAAGAGTGAAAATCCACTAAATTGTGATTCACTGTTATCTGTAGCATTTTCAGCTTGCAGCTTTTGCAATTTTCATGCTTTCCAAATTGTAACAATAGTTTACCATTTCAAATATGTTTTTTTGCATGCAGCTAGGAGAATATAAGGGGATGTATTTGTTTCTTTTCTTTGGAAAATAATTGAGGGTTTGTTTTGGTTTTTTTCTTTTCTTTTCCTTCCTGCAATGTATTTATGCTACTGTTTGTTTGGTTCATCATTTTTTGACTTCTAGAGAATGCCTGTATGAACCATTAACCATCATAACTGAAAAAAGCTTTACTTAGCCTTTCTGGTAAACTAAGTTACCATCACATGCAAGACACTAACCAAAGAAAGATAAGAAAAACCTGAAACTAAATCACTCTTTCATTGTAAAAGCAAATGGTTCCTGTAGACAAAACTGAAAGACACAAAGATATTAAGATAGGAGAGAATTTAATCTCTTGCCCACATCCTCCCATAAAAGGTGAGTTTCCAGTATTCTCTCTCTTAACTCTTATTTTCTTTCTTCACTTTAAAAATCCGAATATATTGTATTCCCCCCCTTAATCTTTCCAATATTTTTAAACAATTGAATCATTTGTGTGACTGACTTCCTCCACTATGCCTCATTAAGTAATTGAGTTAAATTGATTCAAAATAAAGTGACACACTATTTCACAATGATTGGTTTGAATCAACATTTGCCTTTTTCCATTGCCTCTTCATCACAAGCTTTTTCTCTCCCATGTTCCCAGAGTTCTTTTCTTAAGTTAGGCAAGCAATGAGCATAAGCATTGTTCAGATATATCTGCAAAGAATAGTGTGTCAGAGCTCTTGTGCTTCTATACAATGATTAGAGCCATTTTTATAATCCAAATTACTTTGATACTACTAAAGAAAAGAATTACCAACCTTTTTCTTTTCTTTTTTTTCAAATTGTCTAGGAAGATTTTAAGAGAAAAAAATAAGAATGAATTAAAATACTCTGAAAAATATGTAGGAGTTCAAAAATATTCATCACGGAATAAATGAGTCTTATCAAAAGGTACATATGACATTAAAAAAAAAACCAAACAAAAAAAAAACCACAACCAAAACAGAACAAAAGAAAGACTCTAATTAATTTTTAGGAGATAATTAAAAACATGTGGGGGAAAATTATTAATTTTTTCCATTTAAAGCCGGAAAAATAGTGACCAGAGCAAAAGAAATTTTTTATGGCATGTCATAAGAAATGTGTTGACACAAATCGTTCAATCAAACCTTTCTGTAATGTCTTTCTTTGTGTTTATGGTTCACTAATTCACTAAAAAGTGATAACACTTTCACGTTGTGACCTTTAAATTGGAGTAATCACAGAATCACAGAATAAACTGAGTTGGAAGAAACCCAACGAGTTGGAAGGATCAACGAGTCCAAAATGTGTCCCTGTACAGCATCATAATAAGACTAAATATCTGAAAACATAAGGATAGATTGCTGTAAAAATATTCCAGATGAATCTCTGAACGTCAGTGTTTTATTAATACATCAGTTACATTGTCCCTGACATGAAATTGCAGCAGATTATACTCTTCAGGAAACAAATACCAAGCCTGAAACCTATGTATCTGTGACACTTCCTCTTCCAATAGCTGTTAGCAACAGCAGGTTACTTTACTAATAAGAAAAGCGTTTTTCTAAAATGTGAGTGATAGCAACCAGACTTGTTGGCAACAGCGGGATACTTTACTAATAAGAAAAGTGTATTTCTAAAATGTGAGTGATAGCAACCAGATTTTTAAAATCTATTTGCTTAATATAGCAATTAAAAAAAAATATTAAAAAGGAAGAAAATCTGTTTTTCATTTCTCTTTGCCCTGAACTTTCCCCAGTATCATTAGAAAAACAAAAATGCTTCATTGATTAGGTTGCTCAACCAGATTAATGTTCAAGTACTTTTTCCTGGAGAAAAGATCCAGACTTTTACATTGTAATATAGCTAATGACCCATGCCTAGTCTTGCTATTGCTGGAAGATTGCTATTTATAATTTCGTATAAACACAACATGCATTTTAAAGAATATTATCAAGAGTGAGAATTCTACTGATGCTAATCCTTTATTATTCCAAAACCAAAACTATTCCAGGGACCAAGGCTACAGAATATTACATTATGCAAAATCAGAACTTGAAAAAAATATGTACTCACTGACTATATTATGGTTTTGCTCTTTATAGTGGGTTGACCCTGACTGGGTGCCAGATACCCACCAAAGCCACTCTATCGTTCCCTTCCAGAACTGGAAGGTTCATCAGCTGATATAAGGTACAATAGAGATCATTCACCAAATACCATACTGGGCAAAATGGATTGGACTGAGGATATTATTTGAGTTTATTGCTAAAAAAAAATAAGGGCAGTATAATGAGAAGAAAGATCTTTCCCGTTCTTCAGAGTGGCGTCCCTCCCATGGGACACAGTCCTTGATGAGGTTCTCCAGTGTGGCTCCATCCCAAGGGTAGCAATTATCCACAAGCAGTGTAGGTCACTCTTTCACAGTGTGCAGTCCTTCAAGGACAGGGTGCTCCACTGTGGGTCCTCCTCAGGGTCACAATTCCTACCAAGAAACCTGCTGCAGTGTGGGTTCCTGTCTCCTCGTCTCTGCAAGTCTCTGCCAGGAGCCTGTTCCAGCACAGCCTTCCCACAGGGTCACAGCCTCCTCTCCAGCATCCACCTGCTTGAGCATGGGTCTCCTCCATGGGCTACAGGTGGATATTCCCCGGATATCCATGGGCTGCAGGGACACAGCTGCCTCATCACAGTCTGCACCATGGGCTGCAGGAGAATCTCAGTTCTGGTGCCTGGAGCATCTCCTGTCCCTCCTTCTCCACTGACCTTGGTGTCTGCAGAGGTGTTCTCACCTGCTCTCCTCTGTCAGCAGCTACAACTGTGCAATAAAGTGTTTGGTTGTTTATTTTTCTTGTTAAATATGTGATCACAGAGGCATCACAACCATTTCTGATTGGCCCAGCCTTGGCCAGTGGTATGTCCACCCTGGAATCAGCTGGCATTTTCTCTTCCAGACATGGAGGAAGCTCCTGGAAGCTTCTCACAGAAGCCATCCCTGTAGCCCCACTGCTACCAACACCTGATCATGCAAACCCACTTTTCCCTATTTCCATTTTTCTCATGGTTTTGGAGATCACATTTATTTCATACTAAAGTTCTTAAAGCCCAAAAAACTACTTTCATGAATGTAAGAGTCTCCATATGTATGTAGATTGAAATGAAGGAACATCTATGTTTGTTTTCTGCTGAATTAAAAGTATCCATCAGTACTTACTTCACCAAAGCAATTTTTCCGTGAGCTGGCATAAAAACATATGGAATTTCTTCTAGAATACATATGCCAGTTTAAAAGGTTTGGAGTGTATCACTGGAGTTAAAGGTTTTGGAAGAATTTTATGATAATTACCCTATGGGTAAAGGTTATAGTTGTGACCAGCTTTATTCATTCATACAATTAAAGAATATGAGCATGAATAAATATTTATTTTCATAGTCATATGACATAACTTTCAGTCTTTTGTGCCCCTTTTTGTCTGGGAGGTGAACTGTAATTATAAGAATTGCCTACCTACCAGTGAAGATCAAGAAATCAGAATATCTATTCTCCACAGAAGAAGAAAACTACAGATTAGGAATATCTGGAAGACAATCAAAAATAAAGCCAAGAAAAGGCCTTTGAAAAGAAGTTCAGTGAAAGAGTTGCTGGTTTCAAATAAATTACACCTTCATTTTCATTTTTGTCCATATATATTTCTGGTGACAGAGGTTCCACGGCCTCTTTGGTCACAGCTGTTCACAGCCTTCATTTTTGCCATAATTAGAATACTTTACCTAATATCAGCTCAGTTTTGATTTTTCTTACTGAAGACAATTTTCCTTAACCATCCTAAGTAGATAACGTTCTTTTTATGACTACAAAACTGGCTGAATAGAAATAATGAGCATTGAGGTTGGATTTAATTCAAGGACAGATTTAGAAACATGGAAGCAGGACTTGTCTTAGGTGCTAAATATCATAAAAATGCATGCCAGATCAGTCTTCATTTATATACTTCCTTATTACATTAAGAACTTTATTTTTGAACATGATCTGATAAAACTGAAGATATTAACTCTTTAATAACGGTTCAAGAAACATAATACAAACACAGTGTGTGCAGTAGCCTTAAACTGACATATGTGACATATGACAAATTCATTGTTCTCCTTCACAAAGAAAAATGCATTGTCTTAAATGGAGGAAAGAGAATTTTCTTCCTAGCTTTGGTCTTTACTAATCAATACTTAAACCAGACAAGAGATTCTATCCTAGAAAGTCGCAGGACACTTACATGAGGAATTCTAATTTCCCACCAGGAGATTCTGCTTCAGACTCACAAGCTTTGCAATGTTCTGCTGTACATTACATCAAACACAGTGGTCTCATAGCAATTAGGAAAAAGCTTGTACTTCAGTCTTTGATTCACTTCATTAATTTTTTTCCTTGTCTAGGACTATATGGATATACCAAAGAATTATTTTGCCATTCCTTCATTTATAGAGAGAATAGCCAATATTTTTCTTTTATAGTCTCACCCTGAAAAATGCAATCCTTCTGTAATGACTTATGAACATTCGTTCAACTCAAGCTATGCAATCACAATGGGGAGAACTTTTCTCTGACAATAAATCCATGAGCAAAATCAAAACCAGACAGATAATATGAAGCTTGTTCAGCTCAAATATTTAAATGTTGAAAAGTGTGTTTTACTCCATACCGCACATACCTACTAAAAAAGATTTAATCACAAAGAATAAAAATAATGTTCACTTCAATGTTTTCTGTTTGTTGAAATTATTGGTAGGAAAAATGGTTGTATTTTGTGAAAAAGAACATTTACTCTTAGAGTCTCATGTCAAGAAAAAGAAGAAAAATGCTAACTGTATTCTCTTGGAACAGATTACATTGTTTTTTTAAATTCATATGAAATATACTTCTTTTCCCTTTGGACTGGCCACTGCATAACCTTATCTGATGCACTAGATGCATGAATTTCACTATAAACATGCCAGTGTTTGTATTTGCATGAAAAAATATCCTCACACTGAAACCATCATATATGTATTCTTTATTAAAAAGTATTTAGTTTTGTCAGTCTTGCAAGTAAATTCACTAAATTGTACTTATTAGTGCTACATTTCTACAGCCTGCATATTTTCAACTCAACCTGTATCTATGGGAAGATAGTTTTATAATATGCCTAAGGATCATTTATAGTGACATAAAAGTAGATATTTGTGTCCTTTGTTTTATTAATATTCAGAATCAAATATTTCAAAATGTGTGGACTGTTGT